TTAATGCATGAAGTGGCCGCTATGGGCCTGAGGGTAAGTTTTTTCTCTTTGTTATTTTTTGTGTTCCTGTCATTTTTAGCGGTGGCCTTGACTTTCACCGATTCCCCCTTTATCTTTTTGCTTTCAGTCTTACATGCTGGAGATCGAGAGTGCTCGCAGGGCCGACACTCAGGCCAAGATTTTTCTAAAGATGCTGGAAAAGTATCGGTGCTACCGCAACAAATGCCGTGAGATGCACGAGCGGCTCAGGTCGAGCACCGGCAATCAATCTCTTGGGGAGGAGCTGGAGAGGAGGGATAATGAGTTAATGCAGTCTATTCGATGAAGAACTTGAGTTGGGAAAGGGGGTCGCTGTATAGTGTGAGCATCTTCAAGCGAATGTGCTGTCGTTGCAATCCGAGCTCGATCAAAATGTCGTTAGAATTGAAGCTTTAAGTGCGGAATGGGTAGGGAAGTTAGCCGAGCTCGAGAGGAAAGTGTCCGAGTTGGAGAGCGCCGAGAGTTCTCGGGCATCGGCCTCAGCAAGGGTGGCTGGGTTGGAGGACACTATTCGTGTCCTTCAATTCGAGAAGGAATCCGAGAGGGCAACGGCCACACTAAGGAGGTGAGGCTTGAGGAGCGTATTGGCGAAATCGATCGGGAAGCATCAAACTTGGGAGATCGAGTCGCTGTACTTGAAGGTGAAAAGGCGCAGTTGTTGGCCCAAGTTGAATCTGCCTCTGCCGCTGTTCCTCGCCATTTGCACGAGCTTTGGGCTCATCCCGAGGCCCAACGGGACAAATAAAAAAAATTTATGAAAGGCGGGCAATGTTTCTGGGTCCGCTTATGAAGAAGCCCGGACGAAGGCACAAGAGGCTCGTGTCAAGTGTGGCTACGACCCTGCGACACTGGAGGCCGGTGAAGATGCTGATGCTGAGGAGTAATTTCTTGGAGATGATGATGGGGAGAACGACGGTGATGACACCAAATGAAAAGTCGTTGCCTTAGTATATGTGTGTGTGTGTGTGTGTGTGTATATATATATATATATATATATATATATATATATATATTGGTTTTTTGTATTGGGCCTGTGTTGGCCGTGTGTGAGGTGCGGCCGTTGCGTGCATATAAATAAGGGTTGTTTCGTCGTTGTACGTCCTCTTAATTGTTTTCCCTTCCCCTTGCTTTACATTTTGTTTTGGTGTAGGCCTTCAGATTTTTGTATGGTGAATTCCTGATTTCTCGTTTGGGAATCCGATTTTGACCGAACCGAGTAGGGTCCCGTCGTGTGAGTCCGAATGGAGTTTCTTCGTGTTTGCATATTTGGGCAAGATTGACTTTTGATTTGTCGCTTTAGGCGTGATCATCTTTGGTTCAACGAGGTTGAACTTGGATTCGTCGTTTCGGACGGAGTCGATTTCGACTTGAATCATTCGAGGGGGATTGAATTCATTTGCCGATTTAGGCGAAGTCGGCTTTTTTTATATGTATTCGAGCGAGGTCGAACTTGGAACTTGGAGACAAGTCAATTTCTGACTCGCTTGGACAAGATTGAAAAACAAAAGCTTTTGTTTGACGACAATCGGTGGCCTAAAGGCATTTTTTTAGTAAAACCAAAATATTAATCCGTGTAGTTCGAGCGAGGCCAAATTTTTCTTTTGGCGATGGCCGTCGGCCGTGGGGATGTTATTTCGAACCAAGGTCGAAATATTAACCCGTTGCGATTCGAGCGAGGTCGAATTCTTTTTTCGGCAATGGCCCTTGGCCGTAGGGGTGTTATTTCGAGCTAAGGTCGAAATGTCAACCCATTGTGATTCGAGCGAGGTCGAATTCTTCTGTTGGCGATGCCCCTTAGCCGTATGGGTGTTATTTCGAGCTAAGGTCGAAATGTTAACCCGTTGTGATTCGAGCGAGGTCGAATTCTTCTATTGGTGATGGCCCTTGGCCATAGGGATGTTATTTCGAGCTAAGGTCGAAATGTTAACCCGTTGTGATTCGAGCGAGGTCAAATTCTTCTGTTGGCGATGGCCCTTGGCCGTAGGGGTATTATTTCGAGCTAAGGTCAAAATTTTAACCCATTGTGATTCGAGCGAGGTTGAATTCTTCTGTTGGCGATGGCCCTTGGCCGTAGGGGTGTTATTTCAAGCTAAGGTCGAAATGTTAACCTGTTGTGATTCAAGCGAGGTCAAATTCTTTTGTTGGCGATGGCCTTTGGCCGTAGGGGTGTTATTTCGAGCTAAGGTCGAAATGTTAACCCGTTGTGATTCGAGCGAGGTCGAATTCTTCTGTTGGCGATGGCCCTTGGCCGTAGGGGTGTTATTTCTAGCTAAGGTCGAAATGTTAACCCGTTGTGTCGCTGTCAGATTTTGGAGGATTTCACGGGTCGCCGTACTGTTTATGCGTACGTTGGAGTGAATCCTGACGTACTCGGTTTTGTTTTTACTGGAGAATATTGGGTGTTCCCTGGGGGAGTCCAGGTTTTGTGTAGCCTCTGCATTTCCTGGGTGAGTTCCAGTTTGCTTAATTTTGCTTGCGTTGGAGAATGTGATGCATTTCCTAGGTGATTCCCAGTTTGCTTAATTTTGCTTGCATTAGAGAATGCCTTGATGGGGAGTACGAAATGTTGCTCTGTTTCAGTCACTAGAGAATGCTATACATGTTCGTTTCGTACATATGTTGGAGATGTTTCCACGTATCTAGTTCCTTCATCGCCCGGTCTGGGGAAGTATTCAGCAGGCGGGGTGATGAATCATACTTGAACGTCGACACGCCCCTTTCGTCGCCTTGTTAGAAACCTACCCGAGAGGATCCGACTGGGATGAGACCAGGGTGAGGGTGAAAGGGTGCGACTTGATGAGTGTCCTTTCTCAGGGTTTGCAGTATTGGAATGGTGCCTGACATTCCACTTGTTTTGTAGTAATTTTCCTTCCATCGTTGCCTGTTGGAATTCTCCTTTGCTCGCTTGCCCACGCAAGTGCCCGCATTCCATTCTAAACCAACAACAGAGGACAAACTAGGGTGAAATTTTCCGTACCTCGATCCAACGGGTTAGCGAAAAGAGCGGCGTTGTAGTGTTACTCACTCTGCGTGGTTTTAGATTTGACGGCCGTGTTCAGCTCCGACTATAATAGTGTCTAAGCTTCGTGTGGGTTGGGCCCGCCTCACTTGCTGAATCATTGAAACTGAGTCCCGGTTCGATCTCGTTCGATTTGTACCCACAACAAGGGAAACATGTCATTCTTCGTTTATGGATCATCTGATTCGTGGGGGAAAGTAGGGCAGGATGTGCCCATTTCTTCAAAAGACCGCGCAACAGGCTGCTGTCCACTCATAAAGGGTAGGAATATGGGTTAATATATATGAATAAAATGCGTCGAATGGGAGTGTGGTCACGCCAGATGACCATGATCCTATTATGAACGTATGTATGTCGTGCCAACCCCATCGCTGCTGGCGAGATGTGGGTTTTGCATAGATGTTGGTTATAACTTCTACTTTTATGTAGCAGCCTGACCTAGATCAGTATTGTTTTCTTGAAGGTTTATTTACCGCTCTTTCGAGTGGGTGGTGGCGTTTTGCCGGTTCTAGATCTGAAGGAAACTAAGAGATTTGGCTAAGAAATCCCCACAGACGGCGCCAAATTGTTTGAGCAAAAAGTATAAAAACCCTTTTTGTCGAACTAATTACTAATATTATAGAAGGTAAATCTTAGCCAAACATAATTAAATTCAGATCTAAGCATACATAATGTAAAAATAAAAGAAAGAATAACAACGAATAATATTTCTTCATATAACAGTTATACATCAATCGAGTGTGGTTAGCTTACATCCGGGATAGTCTTGCATCAAGGGAGCAATGAAAAGAAAGAGAAGACAATATCGATGATGAAGGGATTCTCCTTATTGTCTCCTCTATGGAAGCTGTTTTTTCCTCCCTCCTCCGGATCCCCCTTTTTGGGTTTAGCTAGACCTATTTATATTAACAACTTCCCTATTTGTCCAATGGTCTTTGACCAGCGTCCTTTTTTGTCACAGTGTCCTCTATCGTCTGCTTGACCACTACGTTTGTTCTGCGACGCAAGTTCTCCTATGACTCGGCCCTAACGATGGCCAAGGTGCTCTTTGTCGCCTTACCGTGTGAGCACGACTGCGACTTGGTCGACCTCATGTCGTTCCACTTAAGGGATGATTAGCCCATGGTCAGATTTTGACCCATACAATAGATGGGTTTTAATGCTATTTCAGTAGAGACATTTTTATCTCTTAGATTTTTGCAGAGGAAGACATTTACTCAAGATTTGCAGCTGTTCCAATATGTGCGGCAGTGTGGCCAAAATAGGGAGGAGGACATTTACTCAAGATTTGCAGCTGTTCCAATATGTGCGGCAGTGTGGCCAAAATTGGGATTTCTTTGAAGTTGCTTTGCCGATGCTATCGTGATGGTGAACTTCTGATTGCTCGTCGTTCAGTGCTCTTACATTTATTTGAGTATGCCAAATTTGATAAAAGTCAACTGCTACATTCTGAGAAACATTATAGTCCATATTTGCGCTAGGTTTGCTTAGTAGCCTCGGTATGGGTACTTTAGTTAACTCCTCTAACAAAAGGTAGAGAATATTATTATACTACTTACCACCATTCCTTAGATGAAGTTTACATCAACCTAATTGATTGATTACTCGCGCAATATTCCCTATTTTTATCTTTAATATATGACTCGATATGTCCGTGCACATGACAGCAAGCCAATGATATGGCTTCGTTCAAGGTTTTATTTGTAAATATTTGATTAAATTATCTTTATTTCCTCCTCAAATGAGATATTAATGACAATGTACCTTTCGGGCCGAATTCGTTTAACAAATAATTGACCCCAGACTAGTAGTAAAAATAAATAAGGACCGAAAGTGTCGTTAAGACTTAGAGCATAGGCTTCGTATTCGAGGTTATCCCATCACATTATTATTACAATAATCAGTACTTCAATAATAGAATTGCAACTGCGACTTTGTTAACTGGCACAGAACATAATAAAATTGCACATTACTGAATATGCCATTATAAGGTACACTAGCAGTTCAATGCAACTTGGATTGAATCTAAACTGCTAGTCTCTGTTCCTCCTATTACTAAGCAGTCTGGTGGGTGTCCCCATCAGTTGCTGCAACCCACCCAAAATCCGAACTACCATCCAGGAAATAAAGCATAAAAACCAGGAAAATACAGCAAAGGAACATAGGAATAGGGCCAAAGATCCACAAAAATAGAGGAAACGAAAAATAAAATGCGCGCAGTCCAAGTGACCAGAAATAGCTGCCTCTATTCACTGTCCTCCCTACATATTCCGTCGTCACAATATGTCTTGAACTATCCAACTTCTTGTAAGGCACATTGATAAGTATACTAGCATGACTATAATACCTGATTGATTGCACATTAAACAAAAATGCAACCATAAAACATACCAAAATAGAGAAGAATTTAATTGATAAACAAAGCTCGCTCTTATCGCCATAAACATGAAATCCGATAGAACGACCTTTGCTTCCGCCAGTCATTAAGACGGCGATTAGAGAACTAAGCATAATAGCTGTAGATGCCAAAAGGGTTGATGCCATTATGTTGTTCCTTAACGTTTGTACTGCTAGAACCCCATTCTTCGACGCGTCCTGCACTTACATTCATTTATTTATTTGTAAAAATTTCAAAATATTACTCCCTAGGGCAATTTATACGATATAGTTTGATTCAATACAAAGTTTAAAATTAAATTGTTTCTAATTTCAAATATAAAAAGGTATAACTCTTTATAAAATGAACTCATAAAAAGTATCATACAAATTGAGACAGAAACAGAAGCAGTTCCTAGTAGTACATAAAAACGAGTTGGTGCGACAATTTGCGAGAGTCTCTGGAAACAGTTTCTCTACCTGCATAAGGTAGAGGTTAGGTAGACACGACCCTCCCAGAGGATTTTTGCTGAGGGTTTAAAAAAATTGTAGCTAATGGAGATTGAATCAATGACCTTACAAAGGTTTTGAACCCCTTAACCACTAAGATATACTTTTGAACTATGTCAAAGGATTCAAAAGAGATAAAAAATAAATTTTGCGTAAAAATTTTCGGCGAAGGGGTCCGTCTCTGCTACCCACCCCACACGTGAGAATATACATGGTTGGCTGGTTGCAACAATTTGCATGTTGTTGTTGTGGTGCAACAGTTTCTAATTAAACACGTATACACGGTTGCATGCAACAATTATCTCTGGGGAAAAAGATTAAATGGATTGGAATTGGTAAATTAAAGGGAAATTAGACGAATTTACCTCCATCATAGCACGAACCCAGAAGTGACGATTAATGGAATTAATGCCGATGACAGTACGATTAGGGTGTTTAAGAATGCGATTAAGAAGCCATATGTGATAAGCCACCATTAATAGCAACCCTACTGGTACCAATACATAATCCAGAATTTCTTTCTCCATTTGAATAGAGTTTCGATTTGAAGTAACAAATCTCTATGTATTGGTCTCCACTATTCTTGTTTGGCCTTAGCTTTTTATTGTGTTGTAAATTTGGGTAATCTGATTCTTACTACTCCCATGCCTTAAATGGAGGGAGAGAAAGAGTCCAATTGTGACACGAAACTCACTAGCTACCTCGGTTTTTGAGTAGTTGAGTGCTGTACTGGTGCCTCGTAATTCGGCTAAAAATTAATATCAGCAAAAGTGTTAACTCTTTCGTTAATTTATTTATTCTTTTTTGACAAACAAAAGTCAGATCTAGTAGGCCAAAGAGAAAGTTCAGAGAAAAGAACAAAAAGTATATCCTTGGATCTCTATTTACTAAAGTCGATAGTTTTTTGGTAGCACTACATTGAGAGTCGTAAACCAATATTTACGGGTGGGTGTCACCACTCCATATTGTCCTTCGTGTTTTTTTTTTCCAAAACACTAGTTACAAAACTCATTTAAATAACATAAATCATAACAAATATATATGACTAAGATACTCATACTTCTTTTTTTTTTTTAATGAGTGATTGATGGTTATATATCTTCTTAGAATAATGAATAAGGAATTAAAAAATAATTAATACCTTCTTAACTTTTTAAAGTGACAAATATTTTGGATCAACTTGTTTTTTTGGGTAAAATAACAAATAAAAAGAATCGGGAATAGAATTTGGTCACGCACATAACTATTTATAGTTTCTCTCAAACGTATGAAACATGGATCAAGGGGAGAAACTCAACATTCGCGAACTGCATTCAAAGACCATTTAAATGGCAGAAGCCAAAGCTTTGAAACATATATCAACAATTTGATTCTTTGAAACATTTCTGAGAAATGAAAGATTGGTTAGAGAAAAAAAAAAGTACCTTGCCCTGCTTGGTCCCCCTCCCCCGGCACGGTGGAGGTTCCGTAGCACGTCATGAGCACCGGGCTAAGGGGCGGTTGAGCAATTCAAGCGAACCGCTTTACCTTATTCCAACATAGGGACAGAAGGGAGAAGGTTGTGAAGGTGGCCTCGTTATCCATACCTCCGGTCGGATGATTGGAGGACCGACCGACCCGGGTTTTCACGAGCGTTGGCGGAAATTTAAAAATAGCCAAATTTATAAGTGGTTATTCAAAAATAGCCACAGCTTTGAAAATAATCGAAATTTAGCCACTTTTTATGTAAAGATAAATCTGAACGAAAACACTGTTCAAAATCCGGAAGATATTCCAGCACAATATACTGGAGATCCAGCATAAGTATACTGGAACTCCAGCATATTATAATGGAGTTCCAGCATAAGTATAGTGGAACTCCTGTATAATATGCTGGAAGTTCATACACAGGTGCTCCAATCTCCAGTATATTATGCTGGAACTTCTCGCGTGTTGGAATTCCAGCATAATATGCTTGAAGTTCATACACAGGTGCACCGATCTCCAGTATATTATGCTGGACCCGTCCCTGTTACAGCAAAATAGTGACTATTTTTTAACGTCTTCGCAAATGTTGGCTATTTTTGAATGACCAATCCGAAAACTGGCTAGCCTGTGCTATTTTATTGTGGTAAAGTGATCCACAAAAAATGTACCAACAAAAGGAAAAGAAACTATTTCCTGGTTAGTCTCAATTGTATCGCCATTGATAATTGTTTGCTTCCAAATTGACCCTGCCTTGAACTGAAACCCCCAGTTTTCGTTAATAAAACAAATTAGTAATATTTACTATTGCCGTCATAACTTTTTAAGTTCAAGAATAAATAATACTTCCTCCGGTCCAAAATAAGTTATTTTTTGGTCTTTTTTGTGGTCTAAAATAAGTAATTTTTCCAGATTTCAAGAATAAATTAATTATTTTTTTCCTACATTGTCCTTAGAGTAAATAGTGTTGGAATATGTGTTAGGAGTGTTTATGTGAGATAGTAAAGGTTAATATGGTCAATTTCATTGCTAATTAATGCTAAAAGGTGAATTTCTTAATCTGTGTGAAAACATCCAAAAAAATCACTTATTTTGGATCGGAGGGAGTACTAATTCTTGCGTCAGTGGTGTAAGATGAAAATTGATGAATGACGCGAGACAATTAATTAATGTAAACAAATCAGTGCTCTTCCTCATTTTGCATTTAGTGGAGTCATTGATAGTCACAGGATATTAGAAGTCACCCATTAATAAATTGCTTCTTTCCGTCACCAACCCATTAATGGAAACTGCTTTGGACGCAAAGTTCAATCCGTGAAAGATATTTTAAAATGTTTAATCATAAATTATATTTTAAATGTTTGTTCACGCCGCCTTAACCTTTTCAATATTTTTTTTTTGGGTTCAAAACAAAAGCGTCTTGGTGGACGATGACTTGGGCCCAATACCGACCGAACCGGGAAAAAAATAGCTGAATCGAAAATTTCAATTTTTTCAGTTTTGGGTTTTCGGTGATTCGATCGGTTAGCGATTTATATTTTTAAAAAGTTCGGTGTTCAGTTCGGTGATCGATTTTACTGATTCGATTTTCGGTTAAACCGAAAAATTGAATTTTTATTGCCTAAGCCGAAAACCGAATTATTTATAAACTGAATTAAGAACAATATAAAATACAACAAGAATTTTGACCCCAACAGATATTGCGGAATTGATGTAATCCTTCTTCGTATTTGAATTTTAGTAACAGGTGAATGGAATCTACAGAAAAATAAACAAAGTCTCCTTCGCACAATTCATTCTTCCGTGTCATCTGAATTCGCATGCTAATCATTCGCTTATTTCACAGATTGGATATATATGGAATTTCATTATATTATACGACCATTAATGCAGTCTAACAAAAATAAATGGAGAATATTTATAAGCACTCAATATGTTTTTGGTTACCCTTTTTGGCTATTCTCTCAATAAGTAATTTATTTTCGTTGTTTCGTACTATTACAAGGTACACTAGCAGTTCAATGCAACTTGGATTGAATCTAAACTGCTACTCTCTGTTCCTCCTATTACTAAGCAGTCTGGTGGGTGTCCCCATCAGTTGCTGCAACCCACCCAAAATCCGAACTACCATCCAGGAAATAAAGCATAAAAACCAGGAAAATACAGCAAAGGAACATAGGAATAGGGCCAAAGATCCACAAAATAGAGGAAACGAAAAATAAAATGCGCGCAGTCCAAGTGACCAGAAATAGCTGCCTCTATTCACTGTCCTCCCTACATATTCCGCCGTCACAATATGTCTTGAACTATCCAACTTCTTGTAAGGCACGTTAATAAGTATACTAGCATGACTATAATACCTGATTGATTGCACGTTAAACAAAATGCAACCATAAAACATACCAATGTAGAGAAGAATTTAATTGATGAACAGAGCTCGCTCTTATCGCCATAGACATGAAATCCGATAGAACGACCTTTGCTTCCGCCAGTCATTAAGACGGCGATTAGAGAACTAAGCATAATAGCTGTAGATGCCAAAAGGGTTGATGCCATTATGTTGTTCCTTAACGTTTGTACTGCTAGAACCCCATTCTTCGACGCGTCCTGCACTTACATTCATTTATTTATTAGTAGAAATTTCAAAATATTACTCCCTAGGGCAATTTATACGATATAATTTGATTCAATACAAAGTTTAAAATTAAATTGTTTCTAATTTCAAATATAAAAAGGTATAACTCTTTATAAAATGAACTCATAAATTAAAGGGAAATTAGACGAATTTACCTCCATCATAGCACGAACCCAGAAGTGACGATTAATGGAATTAATGCCGATGACAGTACGAGTAGGGTGTTTAAGAATGCGATTAAGAAGCCATATGTGATAAGCCACCATTAATAGCAACCCTACTGGTACCAATACATAATCCAGAATTTCTTTCTCCATTCTAATGGAGTTTCGAGTTGAAGTAACAAATCTCTAAAGTGAATGTATAGGTCTCCACTATTCTTGTTTGGCCTTGGCTTTTTATTGTGCTGTAAATTTGGGTAATTTGATTCTTTCTAGAGGTGTATAAACCGAACTGAAAAACGCATTTGAAAAGTTAAATTAAACCGATTAAAAATTCCGATTAGATTTGATTTGATATTGAGTAATTCGGCTAAAACTAATATCAGCAAAAGTGTACTGGTGCCTCGTAATTCGGCTAAAATTAATATCAGCCAAAAGTGTAACTCTTTCGTTAACTTATTTATTCTTGTTTGACAAACAAAAGTCAGATCTAGTAGGCCTAAGAGAAAGTTCAGAGAAAAGAACAAAAAGTATATTCTTGGATCTCTATTTACTAAAGTCGATAGTATAGTATTGGAATTTTATCTCCTATAACAAAGATTAATACCTTATTTATTTTAAATAAATATAATTTCAAAAATTATATTCTATAGATTCTTTTAATGTTTATAGCAAAATATCTAATTTTGGTTACCTCCTTCCCCTAAGCCACTAAATACGCTATTTAGTTACACTATTTTTTCTCTCTCTCTCTACTTTGATACATGTCATTCTCTTCCCTCATTCCCCGAAAACACAACTGAGGGCTTCGCTCGCCGCCATCTTCCTCTGTTTCTGTTTGTCAAGTCTCCACAATGCTCTCTCATTTCATCTCCAAATCCTCACACCTCTGACTCTTAACCCTGCTTCCTTCCAAAACCCACTTCTTAAACCCTAAACCCATTTCCACTATACCCTCTTTTTCAAGCTCCAAGCCATGTTTCTTCCCCAACAACTCCCATTTCTTCTCCACAGGTAACAACAACAATGACAAAGATTCAGAGCCATCGTCTTCTGATTTGTGGAAACTTTCTTCTGAAACTGATCAATCACTGTTCAATGAAGACATAGAAAGTGTCGAGGGTATACAAACGCAGGTTCTTAATGATGGGTCTTGGGCTAAACAAGAACAAGAAGAGAGTGGTGATGTGTTTAATAAAATAAGGGTGTTGGTGGAGGTGGGGAGGATGAGATTCGCCGGAAATTAGGGTTTGTTCTTGAACAAAGACGACGGAGTTTGGGGCTGAGCAACTTGATTTTCTGTTAATATATTTCAATGTATTTTCAACGTATCACGCTGTATTTTCATGTATTTCATTGTATTCATTATCTTTTTTTCATTGTAATTCAATGTATCTCGATGTATTCCATGTATTTCATTGTATTCACTGTTTTTTTAATGT